GTCATGAAGGAGGAAGAGATTTCCTTCGGGGCCTTATTCAAGCACAACAAGTCAAGCAAGAACGGATACAAGACCCGTGACTACAAGGATCGCTTGCGGAGGAATGTCGCGGTAGCACTACTCTAAATTTTGCAGCAGCACCGGATCATCTACATGACTTCTTGGCAGGTGGGGTTTGTGGAGCTGGCGTTGGCTGGAGCTCCGATCCATTGGGCTTGGATTCTTTGGAAGGCGACGAGACAGCAAGCGCAGGAGGAGAAGGGGAGATCGATCAATTATCTCTTCCCCTTCTTGATCAATTTCTATCGGTCGATGGGATGCTTGATAGCCACGGAGCGAGTGTAGTTTCCCTTGCTGTCACGCAGCAATCCAGGCATATATGTGAAGGATGTCAAAGTCGACATCGACGAAGACGAGACGCCCGGCTGCACGCCACCAGCTCAACCGAGAGCAGAGGAAGAACCGCGCGCAGCACAAGTGCCGCGGAAGCGGAAGTGGAATGGAGAGGCGGAGCAGAGTCAGCAAAACGTTGTTGCTGCTCCCAGCCGAAGTCGAACAATTCAGGAGCTATGCAGTCGTCCCAAGCAGAAGGCTCGCAGGCTCATCCTGGCGGCAAGCAGCGCAGACACCTAACGAGATGCAGAGAGTAGAAACTCGCCATCTTTGGGGGAGGATGCGAGTGCACGAGCTAGCGAGAGGACATCATACCTCCCTGCACTGAAGGCACGGACGCATTCAGAGGAAGCAAGAAGGCCTTCGGCCCAAGGAAGACATCATGCGGCACCGACGAGTGTGCCAGCGACGGACAGGTGCTTCGCCTCTGAGCAAGTATCGTTCGACTACTCGACTTCGGGTCAAGAGCCTTCAGCTCAAGCGCCTTCGGCGCAGAAGAAGAGTGGGGAGGAGCCTTTGGCCCAACGAACTTTGGATCAGACGCCTTCGGCGCAGGCCCAACTTGAGAACTCGGCCACGGACAAAGGCCGGAAGGAGGAGACACGTGTGCCTTCGACGATGCGCCTTCGGCGGTAGCAGATCGGGTAGGAGAAGCGGACTTGCCGGAAGCTAGATCTCCCATCGCATTGGATATCTTGGCCAAGAGTGGAGCGGCGGTCGCAGCAGCAAAAGCCACGCAACCTAATTTAGGGGATTGCCGAGGATTTCTGTGGCGACAAAGATCCCCGATTCAGAGTATGAAGAGGACGAGTTGAGTTCGAAAGGGCAGGAAGTGGAGTCGGTGCAAGGCACGCCGAAAGAAGTATTGTGCGAGCAGGTGGTGCCGCTACTGCGGTACCTTGATCGCAAGGCGGCGAAGTACGCTGATCCCCGCCATCGGGGATCCTACGTCGAATTGGTGCAGAATCAAACAAGAACCAAAGTCGCGACAAATCCTGTGCTTAGTTCCCTGGACAACAGGTGCAGAGAGTTGGAATTGAAGAACGATGCCCTGCACGGACATCTCACAGTCTCGCGGAAACTGCAAAATGCAGTAAACTAGATGCGCAATAACAAGGTGGCCGAGGCACAAAGAGAATTTGAGAAGCAGCGGGAGAAGCTCGAGGCGGAGCTCAATTCTAAGCAAGCTTAGAATAGCACTTTGGCGGAGGAGCTCGTGCGGCATACACAGTTGCTGGAGCAATGTCAGATCGCACGCCAAACAGATGAGGAGTTACTATGTCGCTTCCAATCGCAGTGCGACGAATTGAGAGCGCAGCGTGCAGAGGCAGAGCTGTAGTTGGTAGAGGTTGAAGGCAACAACCAGCGCGCGACAGATTGCATGCGAGAAGAGTTGGTAGAGCGAGTGAACCGCTGTCTGAGAGGTTACACTCGTTGGAAAGTGGCTGCGCAGGAGAGAATCACCTTGCGCGAGTTAGAGATTCGTGCGGCGGACTTGATGTCGGGTGACAGTCGGAGCCGGCGGCGAGTGGCGAAGCGGTAAGATGACTTCTTGTTGAGGTCGCGAGATGCCATTGTGAACCTCAAGGCAGAGGTGATTGCGGTGTTGCGGCGGTTGGGATTGCGCAGTAGAGCAGAGGATTAATCTGGTAGAGACGCAGTGCGCGGTCGTCCTTCGCACAGGACGCATAGCAGATGACATGACATGATGTGTAGTGTAGTGTAGCATGAAGTAGAGTGTTAGGTAGTTAGGCCTTTGAAGGTATAAAGTAGTTCAAGGCGTCTTGCCTTGGGGATTTTCCAGTTTCGGAAGTGCAGTTCAGGAACTCATTTTCTCTGCGCGTTTGTGTCCTTAGTTTTGTCACCGCGCAAAAGGAGCTACAGCTTGACGAAGTTACCGCATTTTGTAGCTGAAGGCCTTCGGCCGAATGTTAAGAGCTAGCGTTTTGGTTAGATACTTGAGCAATTCGGACATACACCTTTGAAGTGATTGTTGAATGTTCAGAGCTAGTGGACTACTTAGATACTTGAGCAGTTCGGACTTACACCTTCGGGTGATTGTTCCTGTTTGTACTCATTCGGGATTTTTCCTCCTAAATGCCAAAGTGAAGTTTTGTTACTTCAAGTAAACCTTGGTTAACAATTCAGGTTGTACGTTGCCTGAGGCACCTTCGGGGGTAGCCTCCGCAGTATGGAGCATGAATTCTTAGTGAATCCTTTTAAAGGGCATCGACTCCTAATTCCTGCTTACAGAAATCAATGCATAAGCTAACGACATTGTAGTTGAGTGATTAAAAGGAATCAATGAATGCACGATAAAAAATCACTTCTCTCTGTTGAAAAATCTTGTCTCTTGCTTAACTCTCGCCGTTACAATTCTTGATGTTGTATATCAGCAAATCCTTGCGGCCTTAGTGAGCGCTTGGATTTCGTGAGCATGAAATCTAAATCTATACTTTTGTTGTAAGTTAAGTTTGTCATAGGTTATAAGTTCATGCTTACAAAAATTCATGCACACGCTAAGGACGTTGTTGACAAGTGACTAAAAGAATGAAGCCGCGCACGATTAAAAAAACACTCGTCTAAGTTGACATATCAGGTCTGCGGCTATCCTCTTGCCGTGACAATTCTTGATGATGTATATCAACAAATCCTTGCGGTCTTAGCGGGAGCTTGGATTTCGTGAGCATGAACTCGAAGTCCATACTTTTGTAAGATATGGATTCTAAGTTCATGCTTACTTAAATCCATGCACACACTAAAGACGTTGTTGACAAGTGACTAAAAAAATGAAACTGCACACGATAAAAAAAAACACATCTGTTAGTTCACAGATTTTGTTTATGGCTCAACTCTCGTCGTGACAATTCTTGATAATGGGCACTTTTTAGTTTGACAAACACCACTCTCATCTACAAACAGAAGTCAAGAAGTTAAAGAGTTAGAACAATCAACAATTGTTCAACAACTCAAACGCTCAAACTAAACAAATTGATAACAAAAAACTCTATTCATCCAATATGGGTTATAAAACCAAGATGTAGATACGTTTTGGAGAGAAAAAACATTAATTTTAAGCCGTGAAACGTTGTACACAAGAAACAGATGACCATCCAAGTCACTCCAAAAAGTTGAGGTATTCCTCTTAAGAGACAATTAAATGGCTTAGAAAATTTAGAACTCATTAGTACCACAAACAACAAACAAATTGAAGATAACCTTCTACTATGTCACAAAGTGGAAGGTGATTTTCTAGAATACTAGAAATTATCTAAAAATTTCCGGAACAATCCCATCAATTGAATTTCTCCAATTAAATATGAAGTTTGAATCGAATTGTATATTCCAAGTAAGAAAGATCATGAACTTTGACTAGTATAATTTTTGCAGTTTAAAACAATCCGAAAAAAATACTACGAAGAGTAAAGTTAAAAGTTGTACTTTAAAATCTTAAAGCATATCTCTACCACCACGGATTCGTAGATGTTTACTAGACAAATTGATGTACATCTCACGATGTCCATATAACTTGCTCATGTATTCATGTTAAATGAAGTAGAAAACAAAAATCAACCTATTTTTTGGTCAGACGCTTAAGCGCCTTCCTTTATGCTGATTAGCGAAAAAAAAATAGTTTTTTTTCTATTTTTGACCTTTCGCGTAGGCGACTATCACGGGCTCTATGACCTCCAGATGACTAAGTGTACTTCACCGGTGTCCATATAACTTCTCATGTATTCATGTTATATAAAATAGAAAACAAAAACCAACCTATTTTTAATAATGTGATGTTCAAGATGACAAGTTTTGAATTGTAACAATCAACTACAATTATATTAACTCAAAAATTAGAAATGAATCATGATTTAAAATATAGAATTCTTTTGCTCGTATTTCTTGTCAGAACTGAAAGAAAAACCTTTCAAACGCACAAACAAAAGAGATATCACGCCATGCATAAAAACCCCATTCACAAACATTTATAAAAAATAGACTCAGTAATTTAGCTTCAGAAATATTAGTAAAATCAAAGTGAACTGTCAAAGAACAACCGTCCCTAATTCGACACTGTGGACAATATGGGAATCATTCTCATTACCGTGTTCCACATACTTCAACCCTAATATAAAGGAGATGTCTGATGCAAACATGGTGACAGCTTTTGGCGTGGAGGAAACAATTTTTGCGTTGTGATCCTTCACATTCGAAATGTACACAAACGTAAGCTCCGCTGGAGTCGTCGATGATGAATTGTGGTTAGAATTGAAGAAGGGGCAGACTCAATTCGACATCGAGAGTCATCGGATTCGACTGCTGTGTTAAAAATGGAGGCCATGGAGGAATGACTCGCTCGGCGACAGGACGAAGGCTCGGCGTGTAATCGATAGAAGTGGACAGAAGGAGATTCGTTCCGCGTCTCCTCTCCTCGAGAAGAGCAGTGTCGGCGAAGCTTCAGAGCTCGTCATTGATGACTTTTGGCCGAGTTCCAACTTTTGAGGGCATGCCGTACACGTTCTTCTCCCCCTTTCAGATTGTGCATGAGGTCAAGAACGACGCATCATCACTCCGATCAAATTGGCAATGGCACTGCGACCCACAGCCTTTTTGTGTCTCCTTTGAATCGTTCTCGTAAATCCCCCTACTATTCTACTTTTGACAGCCCTAGTCTTGAGATTCATGGCGATCGGTCGAATGATTGCCCTTCACCTGATCTGGAAGTTGTGTCTCCACTCACTCCAGACTCCAACCTCTAATGTACTCTCACTCTGGAGGGAACAGCCAAGTCACCTGTGGCAGGATCTTCCAACCTGTGTGGATGTTGGGCTCGCAGATTTATGATCACTGTCCTATTGTGACGTCCAGGTCGACGCGGAAGAAAAGAAGTCTGTAAATCCTTGCGGCCTCAGCGGGCGCATGGACTCCGTGAGCATGAACTCTTAGTCCATCCTTTCCATAAGCAGTGACTCCCAATCCCTGGTTACGGAGGTCCATGCACACGCTGCGGACGCTGCTGCCTGATGACTGCAAGTATGGAATTGCCTCCAGGTCTCTTCATCAGCGTCATTGGTTGTCAGGGAGCACTCGGGGTTTTGCTCTGTTATCACGTTCAAAGGATGAGATCGTGAGTGCCGTCGCTGCTGAAAACTTCTTCGCGGCGAGTAAGGCCGCCTCGAGCATGGATCGTTCACGGTCATTCTCCTCACACGAGGCGAATCATGCCCTGATTTAAAGCCAAGGAAATAATTGAGGTATGGTTTTCAATCAAGGAATACGTCGGCACTGTTTCTTGGTAAATATTTGACAAGGCGGGAATTGTTCAAAACACTCGGCATGAAGAAACTGTTTTCTTAGCACATCCAGCGTCGGATGACGCGACTTTCGCGGGCTTGCGAAACGCCAAATTGTTGATGCTTTCATTGAACACTAAATTAAAACTCACCAACGATAGGTGTAACTCATAAACACGGAAGTGTGCGTGTGAGTTTTGTAGGGGGGCTGCTGGAGGGACCGGTCGAACACAAAATTTATTCCATGAACACTGTGAAACGGGTGTTTGGTGGAAGCATTCACGCCCAAGCATGAGACACCACCTTCAAAGACAAGGTCAAAATTCTGTACGATGGTGGGACAAAGAGCAGTATTCAGAACGAGATATAGAAGTGAAGGAACGAACCTTGAACTTCTATTTGAGAAATCATCGTGAAAGTCTCTCGGTGAAAAATCCCAGAGAGAAAAAATAGTGAATGTACACTTCTGGGACTCTTCTACCCTGCCTAGGTTGTGAAGATCTAGATCATGGACGACGAGGGATTCGGGTAATATCAAAACAGTCATATGGCTGTGGGAGGAGGATGACGATAATCCGTGTTTGTGAAATCGTCGAAAACATTTCACGTTATCACAGTGTGGTAACCCACATTTTGTTTTTCGCCGGAACTAAAACATTTTTGATTAGTAAGTACCGTGGTAGGAGCTGTAAATAGTAATCGGTACGCAAAGCCAGAGTAAAAAGAGGATCGAGGACAGTCAAGGGGTTTTGGGCTTAGGCCACAGTGGAACGCTTGGAATGGAACGGGCGGTTCACGCTGCAGGACTCGCTTCGAGCACCTTCGGCGGTAGATCACTCATAACTTCCTCAATTCTTAACGCCTTGAGTTACTTAGGGTCTCGTTGGAAAGAACTTGAAGCTCTGGTTCTAACGAGTCCAAAAACGCCTAGAACGGATGAGGACTCAGGGAGTTGTGACTGTCGGAAGATGCGAAGGAGAACGCCTACGGATAGGCGGAAGGAGTTCGTCGTCGGCAGAATATCCACCTTCGGCCCTGGATGTTCGCCTTCCGCGACGGACGTCTTCGGGTCAACTTCAAGTCGGCAAACTCGGAGTCGGAGAACTCGGAGTCGGAGAACTCGGGGTCGGCGAACTCGAGGTCGGAGAACTCGGAGTTGGCAAACTTGAGGTCGGCGAACTTCAAGTCGGCAAACTCGGAGTCGGCAAACTTGAGGTTGGCGAACTTCAAGTCGGCAAACTCGGAGTCGGCAAACTTGAGGTCGGCGAACTCGAGGTCGGCGAACTTCAAGTCAGCAAACTCGGAGTCGGCAAACTTGAGGTCGGCAAACTCGAGGTCAAAGAACTTCAAGTCAGCAAACTCGGAGTCGGCAAACTTGAGGTCAGAGAACTCGGAGTCGGCGAAACATCGTGCGGGCGCCTTCGGCGATAACAGATAACAAGCCTTCGACAGTGTGCCTTCGGCGAAGGATAAAACCGGCATAACTCTTTCAACTCGTAACGGTTTGACTCAATTAGGGTCTCGTTAGAAAGAGCTCGACGCGCTCGTTCCAACGAGCCCAAGAACTCTTGAAACGGATCAAGGATCTGTGAGTTATGGGTGTCGGGAGTGACTGTTACAAATAGGCAAAGGTGCGGAAGTGCGTCTTCGGCGGTCAACGCCTTCGGCGAACTCGAGGTCGGCGAACTTCAAGTCGGCAAACTCGGAGTCGGCGAACTCGAGGTCGGCAAACCGGATGCGGTTCAGAGATCTTGCGAAGTCCATATCTCTGCGATGGACGGTCGGATGGATATGAAATTTGGTGGGGCCGTTGATCTCAGTCGGCCACGCATGCCTGCAAATATTCAGCCTCAGATCTCGGATGTAAAGACGCTGGCGGCTCTGTACAGTAGGCTTAGGATTTAGATTTAGGGTTAGGGTTAGATTTAGGTTGTAAGTTAGAGGGGAAGGTAGCCGCCGACTCCTCAGGTGTAGGATCTGGTGCGGCTCGCACCCTAGCGGGTAGCGTAGTGTTAGTTAGGACCTTAGAGAGTATAAAGTAGTTCAAGGCGTTTTGCCCTGGGACTCTTCCTGTTTCGGAACTGCAGATCAGGAACTCACTTTCTTGGCGTGTTTGTGCATTTTGGTCCTGGCACCACGTAGAGAAGCTGCAGCATAGCGAAGTTACCGTATGTTGTAGTTGAAGGCCTTCGGCTGAATGTTCAGAGCTAGTACCCGGTTAGAGACTTGAGTAGTGCGGATCTGCACCTGCGGGTGATTTCTGATGCTCAGAGCCGGCTGCGAGTTAGATACTTGAACAGTTCCCCCTTACTCCTTCGAGTGACATATCCTGATTGTACTCCTACGGGAAGTTTCCCCTGAATGCCAATGTGAAGTTTTATTACTTCGTGTAAAACTTGGTTTGCAATTCAGGTTGTGTGTGTGTTATTGGATCGTGTCTCAGTTAAGTTCTCAGTCGGGTCTGCACTCCCTGCGTTTGGTGTGAGAGTCGAGGGTGACGTCCACGGCGTATGAAGAGGCTTCGTTCCGAAGTGGGAAGTCCAGTCCGGGTACCCTACGCTAGTTCCTGGCGGAAGGGCAGTAAAAGCCGGAGTGGGAATCACTACCTGCAGAACCTCTGAGTGAACTTTTGAGACACTTTCCTCCTGAAATCCGAAGCGGAGGTCCTGACCGACCTCCGAGTTGTGCTTTTGCCAGTTTCAGGTGTGTGTGTGTGTGTGTGTGTGTGTTGAGTGACCACGCTGTACCGTGCATCCTCCGAGCATCCTCCGAGTCGAGATCCTCCTCCGAGTCGAGCCTCCGAGTCAAGCACTGCAGTATTTCTGGGAGTGACAGTCGCCTAGAATTCAAACTCTACAAAAGTCTGTTAAACGTGACACTTTTACTCTGTGTGTTGCCTCTGTCCCTGTGGGTTCGATCTTTTTACCACCATACTGCAGTTTTAGCCTTTGGTGGGTTATTACACACAGTCATCCAGTACGTGTTGTGGAGTGTTGAGATTTCTGATTATCTGCCACTTCCACTACCTGCTGTCATGTACGTTTTCTATGGGAAGTTTTTCACCAATGTGGTGAAAAGAAATGTAGCCGCTTTCAGTGGATGTGCTAAGAAAACAAGTCTCGAGTGTTGCCTACTCTTTAAGATAGGCTCATTAAACACAAGGCTCTTCTCGACAGAAAAGAAGCTGATCGCTCACCACAAGTTCTTACAGGCCTTACCCCATCAAGGAAAAGGATCGCGTGCGAAGTCGAAAACCTTTGATGCTCATGTGAGGACAGTCGAAGGAGAACAATGATTTCTCAACCAAGCGATGGCAGACCTTAAAACGCGCATCTCTCCGCTGACAACGGCACCTGCCATGTGTACGTGCACTGTAACTGGACTCTTCGAGCCTGAATTCGACCCTCTGCATGTTTCCACCAAGCGCAAGGTCTGCAGGTATAAACAGGAGCAAGAAATCAAGAGCTGTCACAAAAAATCAAGTGCAAAATAAGGGGTACAATCTTAGTTCACTCCAACTACCACAGGGAAAGAATACGTTTCAAGGTCTCCATAAGGTAAGCATGCAGACAACTAACCAGAAGTGCACTATGCCGTTGCTGCATCATACTCTCCAAACGAGCTAGCAGGAGGCTCATAGCCTGAGCTTCTCTATTCTTGTCTTTCAAAGGTCGTCGAGCCAGCCGCCCGTCAAGCTTGGTGGCTTCGGCGGCCATTATTCGCGTACCGTACTGTGAATAGACCCTAAAGGAGGTAGGCAACTGATTCCTACATCAGAACACATACACTTCAATATGATACAAAAGTTAGAAAAACACTTGTTTCCTACAACGCCGATGTTTTGACGATACACTAGGAAATAATCTCCGCTTTACGCCCAGGTTTTTACATCACTTGGTTATCGTCCACGTTGCTTCAGAAACAATAAATGTAAATAGTAACAAAGAACAATAAAACGCAGATGATAAGAACATCGAATAATTTGTTTCAATCCCGCTTCTGATCCCGCAAATAAAAGAGATTTCACACCTGGCCCTTATGCTGCTCGGCAAGTAAGAAGAGAGCAAGACGAGCCCACTCACTAACATCTTGCGGCAAAAGTTTTGTGACCTCCTTCGGTAGCTTGTCTGGAGTGATCAACTGCATGAAAGGTGAGAAAGTAAGTGATTCACTCGACTTCAAGCTTCGACGTATTTGGAATGCCAAATTGAACGAGAATAATATGCTTATTATTTGCCCAAAACACTTAATCGCCATCCATCACTCAAAGCCAACTTCGCAAGGAATCCTAAATTCAGGAAGGTTTTGAACACCCCATCGCTCAAAACCTTGACTAACCATGCGGCTACTATCTGCAAGATGTGTACCGAAGCAGAGTAACACGCCTAATCAAAGCTAGTACTCACCAGATCTCGGGAAACACGAAGAACACGCTCGCTAGCTTGAATGGGACGGGTAGCGAACAAGGCGACAGGTACAATTTCAGCACTTGAGAGTCACAATCGAAGTTATTACCATTTCCCCCCGGCTTAAATATGAGAGAGAGCCAACAATGCTCAGAGGTAAAAGGTCTGAAACACGAACGATTACAAATATTTACAACAATTGAATTTCTCAGTTCACCGACGGCCTAAAAAATAGAATCATAATCATAACTTTGCTGATCGTCTCGATATCAGTAACAATCAGAAATCTAATTGACAGTTAGTTGAACCTGAGTTGAGTACCTGCCATGTGTGGAGATTCCCACAGTAGTACTCAGATAAGCATCTCGCTGTCCGCGCTCTTTCAACCAATCAAGGAACTCAACCTGCTCCTTGTAGCTTACAGGCTGAACCTACGCGCACGGAAGGAATGCTCGTGAGACATTATTCTAGGATAAACAGTGCGGCCAAGTACAAAATCGAAAGAAGGAAACTGCGGCAGTATTGGCCAGGTCTATGCCTACTATTCACGAAATCCGAACTACCAACTTTGAAAGGCATGAGAAACGAAAGCCGAGAGTAACAAGGTTTTAAATCCAGAGTCATTCTCTAGCATCGCTATGCGACTACCTTATCGAACGTTGAAAAATCCAGGAACAGAAGTCATTTGGAAGAGTTTACAATAACCACCTGGATACGAGACAAGTTTTTCATAAGGCTCACATGTTTTCTAACTGCACACCGGCAACAAATTGAAATTCAAATTAGCCAACGGATGATCCCGATCTTCCAACGGATATGAGTTACAAATTCTACTGACTGCAGAATGTAATGTCACCTTCAGCTCTGGGCAGGGCACACTTTCTCGATTCCAGCTCCGTCTCGAGTGCGAAACAAAAAACGCAGAAAAGTCAAAGCTCACCATTACGGCGTCCGACTCAAAATCCTCGGCAGGGCATTCCACTCCACGATACTCGCCTCTGCTGTCCGAACTTGCCAAACGAGCACACGTAGAAAACTCTTGGGCACTTGCTCTGAGTAGAAGCCGCATCGAGCGGAACCAATCGGCCCCGCCGCCGATCGTCGCACAGCTCGGCAGTACTCGTGTATTCGAACACAGGAACAATTCGCAATACGCAAGCGCACCAGTCGAAAGACGCTTTGAGGTGTCGCGCGCAGAATTTTCCCCTCGAAGCTCCGACGGGTCGCGAAGGGAATGATGGTCTTACGCCCCAGGGTGGTCCTCTCGCGGTAACGACGAGAACGACGACAGCCATCAGCTCTGACATTATGTCAAGGGCCGCCGCAATCAAAGTACCGCCAGCGCCTCCAATGTCCCTGGCGACAGTCTCTCCATTCTGCGCTGTGATTGCCTAATCCGCCATGGGGCCTGACCGTGAGTGGAACGGACATCGCCAAAGCCTGGCTCCGGCCACCGCCACATTTCTCCCGCACACGCATGAAGCTGCACAAGCGATCGATCGGACAATCGGTGGGTTTTTGTGAATGCGCCGAATGAGAACTGAACACTTCCAGTCTGTTGGACATGATGTGAAGGGCCGTAGCAATCAAAGTACAGCCAGCGCCTCGAATGTCCCTGGCGACATTCTACATTCTGCGCTGTGATTGGCTAATTCGCCGTGGGGCCTTTGCGAATTCCATAGTGAATACATGTTGAGCGTCTTCAAAAGCAGCTATCACCCAGTTGGATCATATCATCCACATTTATAAACGCACTTTGTTTATAAGAGGGCGTAAACAATCATATGTTAAAAAGTTCTCGTACGCTTTGTATATTACAGGTGTCATGTCCGGAAAAATGGAGTGAGAAATATTAAAGGCGTAAAGATGATTTGGAAACCCTAGTTCAAAAATTTGGAAAATCTAGATTATGTGGAAATTTACCTTCATTATTTGGATGTGAAAAATCATTCGTATCACTAATCGATAAATGCGTCCTTATCAGAATTTTAATGACAAGCAGAGATCATTTATCTTCGTTGATCCTGGTCCAGATAGTCACTGACCCAACGCAAAAATTCTTTCCTCCACGCCAAAAGCTGTCACCATGTTTTCATCAGACATCTCCATTATGTGAGGGTTGAAGTATATGGAACACGGTAATGAGAATGATTCCCATATTGTCCACAGTTTCGAATTAGGAATGGTTGTTCTTTGACAGTTCACTTTGATTTTATTAATATTTCCGAAGCTAAATTACTCAGTCTACTTTTTATAAATGTTTGTGAATGGGGTTTTTATGCATGGCGTGATATCTCTTTTGTTTGTGCGTTTGAAAGGTTTTTCTTTTAGTTCTGACAAGAAATACGTGCAAAAGAATTCTATATTTTAAATCATGATTCATTTCTAATTTTTGAATTAATATAATTGTAGTTGATTTTCACAATTCAAATCTTGCCATCTTGAACATCACATTATTAAAAATAGGTTGATTTTTGTTTTCTATTTTATATAACATGAATACATGAGAAGTTATATGGACGCAGGTGAAGTCCACTTCAGTCATCTGGACGAAGGTGGACGTCCGAGAGCCCTTAGTACTCGCCTACGCGAAAGGTAAAAAAAAAACTATTTTTTTTCGCTACTCAGCATGAGGGGAGGGGCTTAAGCGTCTGCTTAAAAGTAGGTTGATTTTTGTTTTCTATTTCATATAACATGAATACATGAGAAGTTATATGGACGCAGGTGAAGTCCACTTCAGTCATCTGGACGAAGGTGGACGTCCGAGAGCCCTTAGTACTCGCCTACGCGAAAGGTAAAAAAAAACTATTTTTTTTCGCTACTCAGCATGAGGGGAGGGGCTTAAGCGTCTGCTTAAAAGTAGGTTGATTTTTGTTTTCTATTTCATATAACATGAATACATGAGCAAGTTATATGGATATTGTCATATGAACATCTGTTTGTCTAGTAAACATCTCCGAATCCGTAGTGGTAGAGTTATGCTTTCAGATTTTAAAGTACAACTTTCAACTTTCCTCTTTGTAGTATTTTTTTAGGATTGTTTCAAACTGCAAAAACTACACTAGGCAAAGTTCATGAACTTTCTTATTTGGAATATACATTTCGATTCAACCTTCATATATAATTGGAGAAATTTAATTGATGGGATTGTTGGAAATTTTTTAGATAATTTCTAGTATTCTAGCAACTCACCTTCCACTTTGTGATATAGTAGAGAGTTATCTTCAGTTTGTTTGTCGTTTGTGGTATCTAATGAGTTCTAAATTTTCTAAGCCATTTAATTGTCTCTTAAGAGGAATACCTCAACTTTTTGGAGTGACTTGGATTGTCATCTTTTTCTTGTGTGCGATGTTTACGGTTTAGAAGTTAATGTTTTTTCTCTCCAAAACGAATCCACATATTGGTTCCATAACCCGTATTGGTTAGGTAGAGTTTTTTGTTATCAATTTGTTTCGTTTGAACGTTTGAGTTGTTGAACACTTGTTGATTGTTCTATCTCTCTAACTTCTTGGCTTTTGTTTTTAGATGAGAGTGGTGTTTGTCAAGCTAAAAAGTGCCCACAATCAATAATTGTCACTACGAGAGTTTAATCATTAACAAGATCTGTGAAGTAATGGTATTGTTTTTTTTATCGTGCGCAGTTTCATTTTTTTAGTCACCTGTCAACAACGTCTTTAGTGTGTGCATGGATTCCTGTAAGCATGAACTTGGAATCCATACCTTACAAAAGTATGGACTTAGAGTTCATGCTCACGAAATCCAAGCTCCCACTAAGGCCGCAAGGATTTGCTGATATACACATCAAGAATTATGAGGGCCAGAGTAGAGTCGCAGACCAAATTTGTCAACTTAGACAAGTGTTTTTCTTAATCGTGCGCGGCTCGATTCTTTTCATCACCGGTCAACAACGTCTTTAGTGTGCGCATGGATTTCCGTAAGCATGAACTTGGAATCCATACCTTATAAAAGATGGACTTAGAGTTCATGTTCACGAAATCCAAGCGCCCGTTAAGGCCACAAGCATTTGTTGATCTACATCATCAAGAATTATCACGGCAAGGAGTGTCGCAGACCAGATATGTCAACTTAGACAAATGTTTTTTTAATCGTTTTTCATTCTTTTAGTCACTTGTCAACAACGTCATTAGCGTGTGCATGGATTTCCGTAAGCATGAACTTGGAATCCATACCTTACAAAAGTATGGACTTAAAGTTCATGCTCATGAAATGCAAACGTCCGCTAAGGCCGTAAAGATATACTGAGATACACCCATCAAGAATCATCACGGCGAGAGTAGGGTCGCAGACCATATATGTCAACTTAGACAAGTGTTTTTTTTAATTGTGCGTGGCTCCATTCTTTTAGTCACCGATCAACGTCTTTAGTGTGTGCATGGATTTTTGTAAGCATGAACTTGGAATCCATACCTTATAAAAGTATGGACTTAGAGTTTATGCTCACGAAATCCAAGCACCCGCTAAGGTCGCAAAGATTTGCTGATAAACATCACCAAGAATTGTCACGACGAGTGTAAAGTCGTAGACCAAATCTGTCAACTTATACAAGTGTTTTTTTTAATCGTGCTCGACTCCATTCTTTTAGTCACCAACCAATAACGTTTTTAACATATGCATGGATTTTCGTAAGCATGAACTTGGAATCCATACCTTACAAAAGTATGGACTTAGAGTTCATGCTCACGAAATCCAAGCGTCTGGTGAGGCCGCAAGGATTTGTTGAGATACATCTATCAATAATAATCACGATAAGAGGAGAGATGTAAACCAGTTCTGACAACTTAGACAAGTGTTTTTTTAAATTGTGTGTGACTTCATTCTTTTAGTCATCAGTCAATAACGTCTTTAGCGTTTGCATGGATTCTTGTAAGCATGAACTTGGAATCCAAACCTAACAAAGTATGAACTTAGAGTTCATGCTCACCAAATCCAAACGACCACTAAGGCCGCAAGGATTTGCTGAAATACACCATCAAGAATTGTCACGGAGAGAGGAGAGTTGTAGATCAAATATGCCAACTTAGACAAGTTTTTTTTAAATTGTTTGCGGCTCCATTCTTTTAGTCACCAACCAACAACTTCCTTAGCGTGTACATGGATTTCCGTAAGCATGAACTTGGAATCCATACCTTACAAAAGTATGTACCTAGAGTTCATGCTCATAAAATTCAAGCCCCCACGAAGGCCGTAAGGATTTGCTGATATACACCATCAAGAATTGTCACGGCGAGAGTAGAGTCGCATATCAGATATGTCAACTTAGACAAGTGTTTTTTTATCGTGCGCGGCTCCATTCTTTTAGTCACTTGTCAACAACGTCCTTGGCGTGTGCATGAATTTCCGTAAGCATGAACTTAGAACATATGCCCTACAAAAGTATGGACTTGGAGTTCATGCTCACGAAATCCAAGCGCTCGCTAAGGCCGCAAGGATTTGCTAGAATACACCATCAAGAAGCGGAAGTTAAGCCAAAGACAAGATTTTTCAACAGAAAGAAGTGTTTTTTTTATCGTGCACTAATTGATTCCTTTTAATCACTCAAGTATAACGTCGTTAGTTTGTGCATGGAGTTCTGTAAGCAAGAATTAGGAGAAAAGGATTGACTAAGAATTCATGCTCACAGAATCCAACAGTCCGCTAAGACCGCAAGGATTTAGAGAGTACTTTTTTTTCAACGTTGACATGAACATCATAATAGTAAAGGCATAAGAAATCTGCAAGTCCATCATCCACACATGAAGATTTTGCCATATATGACTTGAAACACGTTTGAATTTGGATTTCTTATGTCGCTACTCCACAACATCTCTTCCCATATTGCTTGTTCCTAGATCACATGAATTGAGTCTGCAGATGCTACATGAGACTCAAAAAATACTCTCCTCTTTTTGACGAGCTTGTGCTAGAGACTTCAAAATGACTTGATTGATTTAACTAAAACCTTCTTGCTTCATCAAGACTTGAATGAGATCTTTTTCTTTCTGCAATTATATCATTTTTTTACAAAGTTCTGTAACCTTCTTCTCAATGTTTTTTCTTGCACTCTCTTTAAGACTCAGTTTATTTTCCAGGGTGATTGTGACTTCTTTTCCATATTAAGATGTCTCTTCTAGAATCATGAGTGTTGCACGACATTACTTTAGTTCTCATTGTAGACTCATGAATCTATCACCCTCAACTAAAACAGCTTGCTGCAACACCTCTATACTTTTTCATCTTGTGTTGTTTAGATATACGGTAATGCTAATGGTAATGATTATACTTCCAGATCACT